GTAGTCGTAGTAGTAGTAGTAGTAGTAAATATTTCATTGTGGTATTAATCGTAGTAATGGTAGGTAGTGGTAGTGGTAGTGGTAGTAGTAGTAGTAGTAGTAGTAGTAGTAGTAGTAGTAGTAGTAGTAGTAGTAGTAGTAGTAGTAGTAGTAGAAGTACTAGTAGTAGTAGTAGTAGTATTAGTAGTAGTAGTAGTAGTAGTAGTAGTAGCAGTAGTAGTAGTAGTAGTAGTAGTAGTAGTGGTATTAGTAGTAGTATTAGTAGCAGTAGTAGTAGTAGTCGTCGTCGTCGTCGTAGTAGTGGCAGTAGTCGTAGTAATAGTAGTAGTGGCAGTAGTAGTAGTAGTAGTAGTAGTAGTAGTAGTAGTAGTAGTAGTAGTAGTAGTAGTAGTAGTCGTAGTCGTAGTCGTAGTCGTAGTCGTAGTCGTAGTAGTAGTGGTTTCACATTTATGTTACGACTACAATTCGTGCAATTATTTGTGTGCTCTTCCACTTCTATTTCTCTTCCTTACGGTTTCTTCAGCCACGGCAGTTCTATCAACTGGCGGGGGCGCGGGGACGTGTCAATCTTTATGCGGGGACTTTCTTGTGGCAGCGCTGCGCGGCGTAAAGACGCAGCGCCAGGAATCGCCGAGTTGGTTTCCGAGTTTTCGCTCCAATCGAAAGTTCATTATTTATCGCAAGAATATTCGTGGATTGAGTTGTGGTGAACGATTGCAAGAACTGGTTCTCGAATTCGAAGTCGCCCGGTGGGATGCGCGCTTGATTAGACGTGGCGCGCAGAGACAAACGAGTTATTCAGGACCTCTGGTGGTCGCGTGTTTGCTGGGGGGGGGGGGGGCATCCAGAACAAGAGCGCGGGGTGGCAATTTTGTTACGCAGGGATTTGGCAGATTCGCTGAAGTCAGTTGCTGTGAGAACCGAGCGCATCATGTACTTCGAGCTTGGTTCACGCGGCCGCATCGCTAGAGTAGTTGCGGCGTGTTTCCCGCATTCAAAGTACGCCGACGTCCACGTAGAAGAGATGCGCGCTATGCTGTTAGAGATACTGCGAGAGGCTAAACAGAAACAACATGTGTTCTTACTGGCTGGGGGTTTCAATGCGGAGGCGGGCAGCAGGACCGATGCGGGCGATCCGAGGGGCGTCGGTGCATGCGGTTTTCAGTTAGAGAACTCACGTGGGCAATGGCTGAAGCAACGGGCATGCTTGCAGCGATAGGTCATTCGAAGTGCTCTTTTCTCGCAGCCAGTCTCCCGGCGAGCGACGCGCAGAGGGCCCAGAGGGCAATTGCGGCAGATCGATGTCATTATTGTGGGCCGTTTGACGTGGAAGTACGTCAGAGATTGTGGATCAGCGCCAGAGCGCGACATGAATTCTGACCACCGCGCTGCAAAACTCATTTTGCAGTTTTCCGCAAATCAGAAGGGGGCCACGAACGCCGCATCGCGAGATGCATTCCCCAGGAAGGTGGATTGGAAGACCGTTGACAACAGCGAATTTAGAACATTTGTGGACAATCGACCGCGGGAGCTTGTCACGGACGCGACTGTGAATGTGAAGGCTCTTCGGTTTGAGAGTGCGATCGTCGACGCGGCTGTCGGAACCTCGACCCAGAGTAAGACAGGTATCAGCCCAGAGCACAATACTCTTCGTGGCAAAATTTCAAAACTCATGGAGGGGCGACGGCAACTCCCTGCCGGCGGCGGCGCTGACCGCGCCAGCATCAGCAATAACATTCAGAAGACGATCGAGAAAGCACGGAAGTTGAAGATCACCGAGCGCATCACACAGGTCTTGGATTGATTCACGGGTTTGGTCACAAATCCTAAATTGAAGTGCTCACTCAAAAAGCAGATGGCCACCAGCATGCTCGACGGAAACACGATCGTGACGTCGCGGTTGGAGATGGTGAATGCGTTCGCGTCTCTTTGCGAGGAGTGGTGCACGAGCACGCGCGCGGCGCCGCCGGCTCCAGAGCTGAGTGGCAGCGGTCTGGATCGACGCGTGGACGCATTTACCAAATCGGAGGTCCAGCAAGCAATTCAAGATGTACGCCGCAATCGTTGTCCTGACGGCCCGGGCGTTCTCAGCGAAATGCTCACTCATGGTGGGGGGCCTTTTTGGATGCGCGGGTTGATTTGTACAGCGAGATTATTCGCCCTGATGCTCAGCCCCCGGACTCCTGGAAGCAAGTGGTGACCACGGTGATTTCGAAGTCAGGGGGCAAGCGTTTGCCTGAGAATTGCAAGCCTATCTCGGTACTATGTTTACTGATGCTATACAAGCTATTCGCGCGCCTCTTACGCAAAAGACTCGCAGGCACCCTGGGCCCCCAACGAAGTCCAGACCAGGCCGGCTTCAGGAGTGGCTTCTCCGCGGACGACGCCTTGTTCACGGCGGAGCAGCTCCAGGAGAAAGCTCGCGATTTTCCAGGCCCGATTTGGTTTGCGGTCATGGATTTCCAGGAAACTTTTGTTTCAGTTGAACATCGAGCAGCATGGAACGCACTGGCCCGACAGAGTGCACCAGTTGCCTGCAATTCTTTGCTGCGGAAGTTGCGCAGCGAGCAGTCAGCGCGCGCCCGCGCAGACGTGGAGAGCCGGCGATCCACCACTGCCCGGGGCACGAGGCAGGGGGACCTTCTGAGTTCATTGCTTTTCACCGCCCTGCCAGAGGACTTGGCGCGCTCTGCCAAGCCCAACTGGGAGCGACGACAACGTGGTTTACTTCTTGGGTATACGGGCGTGTCAAATATAACTAACTTACGACTTGCGGACGACATCTTGTTGGTTGGTAGGACACAGCGGCAGATCGAACATATGTTGGGGGGCATCCGGAGAGCGGCTGGAAGCCTGGGCTTCCTCCTCGCCCGGAGAGAACAAATACCCTCACGAACACTACTGTTGGGGCGAGCCGCGGACGCGCTAAAAGCGCACTCGTCGACGACCTTGCCATTGAGATTGTTGCTTTGGCTGG